TTTAAAAAATTATTGACATGAAGATGTAATGACATTTCACTTTGGAGGAAGGTTCTGCTCAAGAGGCACCTCCTACCATGGCATAGCAAGAACATACTAAATGACAATAAATTAGGTAGGGAGCAGAACTTAAGAATCCCCTCACTGTCAGACAGAGCAGAACCAAACAGGTGGAGGCTGGGGTGGAGGCGGCATGTGAAAACATTTCTCACCTTGTGCAAATTAAGGAAACAAATTAAGCAGCATAGGTGAGTGAGCTTGACTGTGCTTAAACAAACCAACATAATAAGTTCTGTGTTACTACTGATCTCCAATTGGTGTACTCTCTTTGATGGAAGGGAGGTGCTCCCTTGCATTGACAGCTGGCCTTTTGCTGAGAGTTGGCAAGGGAGCAGGACTGGATTACAAGCCCACAGCAGACTGTAGAGCCCAGGACCAAACTGCCCCAACAACCCCCCCCCCCAGTATCTGTACCTGGTAAAACCAGAAAACATAGTTTCAGTGATAGAGGCGCACTGACTGAGGTTAATATGGTCTTCCAGGAAGAGCAGGCAGAGATCCCCTAAGAGACTGAAAATAGCCGAAAGCTCTGAATGTCATCAAATCACGTGAAGTGAACCCCATAAAATCCCATGTGCCTGTCTTCCCTCATAAATTAAACTAAATTCAATGGCCTCTATAACAAAAGAAACATACCAATGTAAATATGATCTGCCCGGCTGGCTTGTGTAATTAAACTCAAGCAAATCAGTAAGCTGTATACTGAACGCAGATTTGAAAAAATGTTCAAACTGTCGTAATTCTTCAGAAAAACATACATAAATCTGTTCATACTGGAGGCCTACTTATGGTTTGGATTCTGGATATTCTGACACTCTTCAGTGTCAATTAGTAATTGTGCAAATGTCTTCGCTTCAAATTTTATAAATTGCGGGGTCTGGGTCATGAAATCTGTTTCCAGTTTTTCAAGTTTTCTTTGAAACCCTGTGTAAATATTTTTGTTGCGATGTAAAATCCAGTTTTTATGTAAAGAATTATAATTTGGATTCAAATATTAAAAGCAATTCTCTGATTGCTTACCGTATGGTCTTCTTACCCCAGTGAATTTAGCAAGATTAAAATGATATTCCATTTCATTTGGCACTGCCTACAAAATTTAATAGTGAGCACTGTGATTGCAACAGTATGTACAGCATGTGATGTGAGCAGCCCAAGTTTGCATAGCTGCAGGAAATGTTACTGAGAAAATGTTTTTATATAATTTAATATAAAATCTTATTGGTGCAGAACCCTCAATAGTTCAATAGTAAAATCAAAGGGATTTAGAGCTGGATCTGACAAGAAATCAGACAAGAAATAATGTACTGCTTATTTGGGTGATTTATTAGTACAATAGGCATGGGCAATACAAATGAATAAAATGACAACATTTCTTGAGTTGCTGAGAAAAAAGTTTTTATTATTTTCAAATGATTTTTTGCAGGTAAGTACAGAAGACACAGACGAAGAGTTTGCCACAAGTCCAACGCCTTTACAGGAAAGGGTCTCAGAGCCACAGGGTCCCAAAAATGGCTGATTTCGGCATTTTATCAACAAAACCCATTGTGAAAATTTGGGGGGTGAAGCCTGAGGGCATTTTCGAAAATGCAGTCTACTCAGAAATAAACCTGGCCAAATTATCCATTAGGGTACCCTAACAGAAATAATTGATGCTAAAGTCATCAACCCCTTTTCTGAAGTACAGCAGCGCCCCTAGGCCCTTTTTTAATGGAAAATGCTTTGAATTTCACCCAATTATGTTCAACAAACATTAGGTTTTGCATTGATAAAAAAAAAATGGTATGAATGGGTTGCCTGTGAAGTTTTTTTTTTCAATGGCCTGCAAAAATGTCAAAATTATCGGTGGGAGGGCAAACTTAACGGCCCATTACTGTATAAAAAATGCAGTGGTTTATTGTTTGCCCTACTTTTAAACGTTCCCCCTTCAATAACCCGTGGTGATTTAAAAAAAAAAAAAAACTTCACTGTTTTTAAATGTCCATATACCCTCCTCCCATGATAGTTTCAATGAGCTACTGGAATATTCTAGTCAAAACACAACTATGTTAGGTTCAGGCAGAAACCTCCCCTTTGCTTGAAAAATCAGGCGATTAACTAGTCTAGTAAAACTATTCTTTTAGGTTTCATTGCGTTATTACTCAGTATATCGAACCTGAAATGCTCACAGGACAGCAGATTTGTGCGTTTCTGCTTCCAGGAAGCGAAGCAATGTCATCAACAAATATTAAAACAGTTCGACTTATGCAGAGTTCAATGCTTAATCAATATACAATGTTATTCTCCTTTAAATCTCCCTTTTACACCCAAACAAAAAGGTCTTTTTTAGTCTTCTTTCATAATCCGATTAACAAAATGTTTAAACGATATACAGAATTAGATGGCCTAATTGATTATTCAATTTCCATCCTCAGTCTCCAATTGAAGCATATAAGTGAATGAATCTTGGACTGGTGTTTGCGAGAATCATAGGTAGCAAAATTTGTCATGGTAGGTTTTGAACGCCTGGCGCTGGTTTATTCCTTGAATATTTTACTGAAACCAAAATGGGTCATATTCTGTCAACTAACTATGTAGGTTCACAGTAAAAATACACTCACCTTTCTTGTTTGTTAAAAGAAGTCACGAACGAACTTCAACAACTTCTGTCGAACTAATTTCACATCCCCTGAGATCTAGACTGGACGAACAGACTCGTAATTTCTCAAATTAGATGGCTGTAATTCAATCAGCGCCGTAGCTGGGATATCATGTCATCGCGGGCTATTTGAAATCTACCTCCAAAATGGATATTTTGCCACGCCGTGTTGACAGTTTGTAAACACGGCGCAAATTGAGGTCACGATTCATCCAACGGGCGAATAATAGCTCTGTTCAAATCGTTATTGGCCGTAATACGCAGAGTTCATGTATGAAATGCGGGTATCCTATTGAAAAGGTTGCTTTTAATCAAACCATGGTGTTCTTTTTGTATGAAAATGGTATTTACATCATTTTTTTATAAGTTTTCTGAGGCTTGTTTACCGCCCCAGTTCAGCTGTTACGCATTCCATTAGAGTTTATGCAGAGCGTTGCCCATGCCTATACAATATCTTTGTAATCATTTTGTTAAAAATGATAATTTGATTTAATGTAATAAGTCCTTGACTTTTACTTGAGGATTGTCAGTCTATTTAGACTCTGGTGTTTGTGTGTGTGTTTGTGTGTTTTTATACACAAGTTTATGTATTGAACATGTGTGTCTTTGTGTGAGTGCGTGTGTTTTCATGTGTGTGCATTTGTATGTTTATGCCTGTGTGCATGTGCATATACATGCATGAGTGTTGCTGTGTTTGTGTTTTTGCATGCTTGTGTGTATGTGTGTGTGCTTGTGTTTGCATGTTTATGTGTGTGAGTTTGCATGCACGTGTGATTTTGTGTCTTTGCATTCATGTGTGTTTGTGTTTGTGCACGGGTATGAGATTGAATGTGTTTGCATGGATCTGACTGCATTTGTGAGAGTGTGTGTATGTGTGCCACTCCCTTGAATGCCATCATCCTTTTTTTCAGGCTGCAGGACTCCATCCAGACACAAACCGTGGTTAATGCCATGCAGTCAGAGATACCATATGCTTCACACACTGTGGGAGAATGGTTAATGAAATCATACGGAAAAGTGTGATTAAAGTTGGAAAATGAAATTGCCGAAACTTAGAAAGAGATATTAGAACAGGGAAGGACAAGAATATTGAAATGAGTTTGTGATGGAATGAGCAGTGGGCCGCACAGAAACCCTCGTCTGCATAATCCATGGCTGCTGCAAAGCGCGCATCAGCCCTCAAATGACATGATCCAACTGCAAGAGCCCTATAATCCAAGTATGACTGACATAAGAATCCTATAATCAATGTGAGCTTATATAAGAGCCCTTTAATGCAGGTATCATCACATCTGGCCCTACTGTCCAAAATAAAGCCCTGGTTTTCTTTCCTCCTCTGTAATTCCTGTTACAACACACTTGTCCTCCAACTTGAGTTTTTTGACCTCAAATTTAGGTAACAAAAGATCCCTACTATAACCTAAATATGCAGTTGGACCATCCAGATACAAACATTTTGAGCCATCGCCAGTATTTTACTCCAACCAACTGGATTTGCACTCAAGAACAGCTTTGCCAGGAGGCTGAACTAATCACTGAAATCAGCTGGCTGAATAAATGAGGCAAGTAAAAAATGGCAGGACTTGAGAATGACAATGTGCCCCACTGCCTTCATATGACTGACATATGAACTATGCAACCAAAATATGTCTCAGATGTGAACTTTATACTCTAACCTACATATGACAGACAAATCATAAAATTTAACCTGTGTAGTTGTACCTTATATGAACTGTATAACCCTTGCACTTATCACTTACATATGAGCTATATTCAACATGTGATTAACAATGTATATTGATGTTACATAATATCATGTGCATGCAAGAAGTAACTTTTTATACATAAATTAAGAGTGTCACAACTTTTATGAATCCCTACCATGTCTCTTTACAGTTCAACAGCATTCCTGCCTATTCAGTGTATGTGTGTTGTGATTGGTGTACGTCTTATGCCTGTCTCCCCTCTCTGCTGAATCTTGTTATTCGCTTGTTTCCTAATGTTCGCTCTTGTTATTCGCTCGTTGCTGGATTGTAAAATTGCATTCACACAAAGAATTTTTAAGATACACTTTATTGAACCCCGTGGGGTAATTTGTCCTCTGTAATTGACCCATCCTATAGATAGGAGCAGAGGGCAGCCATAGATTAGTGCTCGGGGACCAACTCCAGTTCTAAAGCCAGTACTTTGGTCAGGGAACTGGTAGGACATATGATGCATTTTTTTTTTTGCGGGTGGGGGAAACTGGTGTACCCAGAGGAAACCCATGCAAACACGGGGAGAATATGCAAACTCCACACAGAAATGCCCCAGGCCAGATTCGAACCCACGCCCTGCTATGAGGCGGTAGTGCTAACCACTACGCCACCATGCCGCCTTCTGCTCTTAAACTCCAGTTCTCAAGAACAAGCTTCCAATCCTAATCAGGGACCAGGACTGGGACTGCATTCTTGTTAACCCATGCAAGTCTGCTCTCTTTCTCAAGTTTGTCAGGAACAAGCTTCCAACTCTGAGCTGGGGCCAGGACTGGGACTGAATTCCTCTCAGGCAGCAACCCACCTCTTCATTAGCAGTTCAGTGCTGGCAAGCACTTCGATCTGATCGCACACCAGAAGCCACTGGCCAGCGACAGCAGCCCAAGCATTGTCTGTTACACTTGTGCTAAAGTGTCTCTCTTCCTCCTCGGGAGTCCGTCCCCGTCATTATTGTACTGCTGCCAATAAGTTACCAGTTATATTGCAGGTATGTCTCCACACTTGATTCCTGGTCTGCATCATAACAAAAGGATAACTTTCACTGAATATGATTGTTCTACTTAACTGAAATCAGGTCAGTTTACATGTGATTTAATTGAAAGAACAATTTTAACTTTGTGAACTACGACATGGAGGCAAAACTTAATTTTTCAGCTTTTAAACTGAATTCCTCCCTTCAAAATTATAAAATTTCATTTTATGGGTATACTGAAAACAGGACAAGGCTATTTAAGGGGAAATGGTTTCAATCATTTGTTAAGCTTCCCCCCAACTGCTATATAAATAATTATTGAGATCTTAAGTTAATCACACTTTAAAAACACTATGTTAACTGGTCAACTGAAAATTTAAAGTGCAATGATGGCAACTTACTGAGCATACGAGATGTGTGTTATATCCAGAAGAGAGCTGCCTGTCAGCCGTAGGGCTCTGATACTGAGATTATATACAACAGCCAGAGGCCATGGGCTCACTCCATCACAGTAAAAACCTCCATCCTCTCGACTGCAGGCGTTTATGTGAGGTCACTTCACCCCCGCTGAACCTACTGCTTGATCAGAATTTTGTGCCCTTTAGGAAAGAACATTCTATACATTGCGGCCAAAAATAGGGTCCACAGTGCATAATATGCTCTTCAGGGGTGCTAGACAGCGACATTTTTCACCAAAAGAAATGATAAAATGCATAAGGAATGCAATTTTAAAGCTGCCGCAATTTATAAAGCCAGTCGGTCCCAGAGGGTGGTGGTGGGTGGTGAAAGAGCAGGAGCAACCAGTGTCAGGTAGAGAATTAGAGGGGAAAGGAAAGTACAGGTATGAGCCGATGTCAGCTGGGGTGTGTGTGGGGGTGGGGGGTGATACAAGCAGATGCAAAAGTATGAGGACATTCCATGGTCTGATTCTGTGGTTCACGCTAGACCTCTTGGTTTCAGTGACGAACAATCATGACGCACCTACATCAAACCACATTCCAGCTGATTCTGTGCTTTTTCGGGCAAGCTTTTTTGCATTTCAATAGGACAGAGCAAGGTCCACACACAATCCCACAGACAATCAATTGGGGTCAGTGTGGAAGAACATGCTTGACCGAACACTGTTGGGATCAACTGGAAAGTTGACTTTGTGCCTGGCTTAATAGGCCAACGTCGCTGCCCAAGTTCAGGAATGCACTTCTAGCTGGACTAGAAGGAAATTCCAGTAGCAATGATGTCATATGTCGTGAAAAAGCCTGAGATCTTGGATGAGCAGATTTGGGGAAGCAGGCTGGTGTCGGTAGCACTGATGGGGTGATAGGGAATGAGTGAGCGGGGTTTAGGGGCCAAGGTAGGGCTCTAACTCATCTAAAATAACTCTCTGTCTGGTGGAGGCAGTGTATACCCTTATGAAAAATAGAATTACTATAGATATACTATAGAAACTCTCTAGTTTATGTAAACCATGCTGGGAAGGTAGGGAGGACTGTGTGCCCCTTGTCACAGACACATGACGTTGGTGAACTTATCTTACTGGCCCATGCATCCTGACAGAAACACTTCAGGGCCGTGAAATGCAGAGTTAACCAAACTCAAGCGTTTCTCACAGACTCTGTAGGACTCTATTAAATCTACCCCCTAATGTCTTAAAAACATCTGCATCCTGCAGAGATATTTCAGGACTGTGGGAGCATATTGATCAGAGTGTCCCCCAATTCACCCTAAGACGGCCTTCCTGAACTTACCCTGTGCCGAACAATGCCACAGGGTCATCAACCAGAGATCTACAGAACTGCGCCGTAGGAATGGGAGATTCGAGGGATCAAAGTGTGAAAATACTAATTTCACCCACAATGTTACAAATATAATGTGTATTTCTGTTATACTGCAGGATAAGAGCTGATTAATGACATTAGTACGGATTATCTTTGTAATTCTGTATTGTACCGGACGTTTCATGGCAAACTGTAGTGTAAGCATATCGTGTTTGGTATCATTTTACTCCACTAAAATTCCGAAATCGCATGGTGCATATTTCGAAGGGATTAAATTTGTACTAAACCCTCATTCAATAAGTATGAAAAGTAATATACCTCTACTTCTCCTTGTGGTAATGTCCCCTCCCAAATTCCCTCTGAGGAGGAGTTGCCTTCCTGATTACCCTATGATTTATGACCCTGGTGTAGGAAGCGCTTCTTGAGTTTGAGCATAAAAGGTAGGAAAACAAACTATTCATGGAGGATCGCAACAGACTTCCCACACGTGCATCTCTATGCCATGTGTAGCCAATAGTAGTTATGGAAGATCGTAGACGACTTCCCACACATGCATCTGTATGTGTGTAGCCGTTCTCACAATGGAAGATTGCATTCATCTTCCCCCACGCATGGAAGATCTTGGGCGATTTCCCACACCTGCTCTTGCAGCATGTGGAGATGGAATATAGTTATGGAAGCTTGTGTTCATTCTTCCCGCATTGTACATTTTGTGCATAAGTGTAGTTGTGAGCTGCGCCAGGTATGATTTGACTTCTTCTTGATGTTTTTTGTAACAGTATAATTTGGTTTCTAATTTAAGCTTGCGCCTGCCTGGCGAAATAAATTGATAATTGCATTTGTTGTGGGATTCTGATTCTGACTAACATATTTCCTTCCAGTCCTGGACTGTAATCGCATGCCTGATTAACACGCTTGGTCTGTGTTATGAGGTGGATTTTCCACGCTGTGATGAGTGTTATTTTGATAGGCCTTATACTGAGCGGTTGGGGCGACTTTCGTTACCATCTCAGTCACTGAACGGAGATCTTAGAATTCTAACCCCCAAGTCACTGAATGGCGTCTGTTAAACTTTGGAGTTACTCGTTTTGGGCCCCGGTAATCCCTAGTCATAGCTATTTTCTTTGTCAAATTATCGTGCTTAATAATACCGCCAGCCTCTGTGTTAATTCACAAAATTAAGCTGTACAGATGTTTTAGTCCGGCGGAGTAAGGTATAGACCATTTATGGGTCCGATGCACAACATAGCCCTAAATTCATAAATTGGATTCAGGTCAATATTTATGCAAACACATAATTTAATCATAACTGCAAATGGTTACACCTAAAGTTTATGTTCTAAATTTGATATGGAGTCAGATGTATTGTAACCGCTAAGATATGAGGGCTGCAGCATCCGCGAGTCACGCTTCAGGCTCACTTGAAAGCGGAATGTGAGTGACGTCATCACGTTTGGCCGGAGGCAGTGGCCTAGTGCTGACGTGGTAGTCAGACCCCATTTTTATAATGGAGAACGGAAAGACTTTCTTTTCCCTGGCTGTTTAGGCAAACACGCTGAGACCTTCCGCCTCAGCTAGGACCCTCCTTGGCCTAGTTGCACGGTGTTTACATTTACTTTAGTGATGCTAAAGTAAATCACAAAAGTCAAACTTTAATATAGTAAACTATAGCAATGATATTCAATTACTATAGTATATTTGCAACAAACTATAATTTACTGTAATAAAGTGTAGTTTACTATAGTTTACATCAATTTTACTGTAGTAAACTATAGTTAACTATAGTTAATTTTTATAAGGGTACTGGGACAGCTCATCATCATCCCAGATCCCAATGCTAATCTCTGCTGCTGAGGACCACAGAGGCTATTTCTGTGCTTCATAAGAAAAAAATCCATGCATGGGCACACAGTGAAAGCCAGTCCTTTACCCACTCAGCTTTCCGCATCATGAGAAATGGACCTCCCTCCATTGCCATGAAGATCCTGCTGTCAGTTGGTTGTGGCATACCAAAGAGAGTGTTTAAACAGTGTGAAAACGAGCGGAACAGTGTGTCAGGTTACTTTGGGTCAGAACGCGCGAGCGCTGTCTCACTCCTGAGTCACATTATTTTTACTGCAGGAGACTGATTGCATTTCCCCATCTGCGGGTGATAAAATGCGATGTGACAGCGCAGGGTAAACCAGCACTCTGCTGGGGAGACACACAAACAATCACAGCGGCCGAACATGATACAACTCCAAGGTCACACTCTCACATTCATATCCATGGTAGGCTTGGGTCCCCAACGGCAAACCTGCTACTGCTTCCTCTCCAAGATAAAGGCAGATAAATTAAGAGATTTCTGTTAACTGTGGTTCTGTGTGTCGTGTGTGTCATGATGAGAAGCTATCGTGGGTGCAAAGATGGATAATATTCCATTTAACACACACAAATTCCTTTTGTTGTTGTTGACATGCAACATTATAGCAATATTCCATTGACATGGTGCATTTCATAAAAAACAGTGGTAATTAATCCTTGGCCTTTTACCTCGTTATAAAGGAAGAACACTACTGTGTTTTCTGGAATAAAGGTCACAGGCTGAGAATTGTAGATAGTATTGAAGTATGTGCTTCTGAACAATTTCCATTTACATATAATTACAGAAAGTTAATTAGTGATAATTTGCAGTGATCATAGCAAGCATATATAAACAATATGTGTTTTAATTGTGTTAAAAGAAATAAGCATTTTATACTTAGTCAATGTAATTTTTATTGGTGGTTCAAGCATGGTTGTTCTTAATAAATTGATAATTAACTGAAAATGGATAAAAACTGGAACACAAGACAAATTGGAGAATCGCTTGACTCTTTCTCGACAGCACTAC